ATCCAATATCAATCAACAAATTGAAAATGTAATTGAGATCTTACCTACCAAGAAAAGCCCAGGCCCTGATGGCTCCATTGCTGAATTCTACAAGACATTTAGAGAAGAACTTTTGCCACTACTATTTAAACTCTTTAGTGAAATTTAAAGGGAGGCAGTACTTCCAAATTCATTCCTGGAAGCAAGCATCACCTTGATCCCAAAGCAGAGAAAGACTCATCCAAAAAAGAGAACTAGAGGCCAATATTACTAATGAACATAGATGCAAAACTTCTTCATAAGACACTGGCAAATAAACGGGGAAAACTAAGAACCAAGATACATCATGTAAAGGTACAAGAACCTAATGATGAATGGAACTGTATTGTATACCTAAAATGTACCAATAAACATAATGAGAAAAAGAAAGATACTGGCAAATATAATGCAAAAGATCATCCAGAAGATCTCACACCCTGACCAAGTGGGATTCATCCCACAGATCCAGGGATGGTTCAACATATGCAAATCAATAAATGGAATACACTCTATTTAATAGCGCCAAAAGCAAAACCATATGATCATCTCAGTAGATGTGGAGAAAGCATTTGATAAAACCCAATACACATTCATGATAAAATCCCTACAAAAATTGGAATAGACAGTCTCTAACTCAACATGCTAAAATCCATCTGTAAAAATCCACAGGCAATGTCATACTAAATGGTCAAAACTGAAATATTTCACACTAAAATCAGGAATGAGGCAAGGATGTTCACTACCACCACTCCTGTTCAATATAGTTTTGTTGTGGTTGTTGTTTTTGCTTTTTGTTTTGTTTTGTTTTTTCCATACCAGGGATCAAACTCTGGCCCTTGTGCTTGCAAGGCAGGTGGCGGCACCACTGAGCTAAATCCTGGCCCCTGTTCAATATAGTTTTGAAAACATCAGCCACAGGAATTAGATAAGAGAAAAAAAAATAAAAGGAATAAAGTTGCAAAGGAAGAAGTCAGTTTTTCGTTATTTGTGGATGACATGATACTTTATATAGAATACCCCAAGAACTCCACCAATAGTCTTCTAGACTTAATAGAAAATTCAGTAGAGTAGCTGGATATAAGATCAACACAAAAAAATAGCTTTGCTATACACAAACAGACTCACTGAGAGAAAACTGGAGATACAATTCCCTTCGCAATAGCACCCCAAAATATGAAATACCTAGGAATAAGCCTTACAAAAGAAATCAAAGACCACTACTCTGAAAACAAAAGAGATTGAAAAGGATATCAGAAAATGGAAAGACATCCTTTGCTCCTGGGAAGTAAGAACCAATATAGTGAAAATGGCCATACTTCCTGCTAGATCCAATGACATCCCAATTGAAATTCCAACAGCATACTTCACAGACCTTGAGAAAACAATCCAAAGATTGTTGGAACCAGAAGAGACCTACAATAGCAAAAGCAGTTCTTGGCAACAAACACAAGGTATCACGGTCTGCAATCTGAAGCTATACTACCAAATTACTATGATAAAAAGAGCATGGTACTGGCAAAGATACAGACCTGAGGGTCAGTAGAACAGATTAGAAGATGCAGAGACAACTGCAGACACACTCAGCCACTTCATCTTTGAAAAGGAGCCATACAACCACATTGGAGGAAAGATAGCCTCTTTAATAAATGGTGCTAGAAAAATCATATTTCAATTTGCCAGAGATTAAAACTAGACCAATGCCTCTCACCTTTAAAAACCCCAATCCAAAAATGGACATCTGAAATGAATGGACATTTCTCAAAGAAGTAAAAGCAGCAAGTAAACATACAAAAAAATGTTCAAAAAATGGTCATTTGAGAGATGCAAATGAAAGCAATGCTGAGATTCCAGCTCACTGCAGAAAGAATGGCTGCTATCATGAAATCAAGCAATAACAAATGCTGGTGGGGCTGTTGGAAAAAAATGGAACCCTTCTCCACTGTTGGTGGGAGTGCAGACTCACACAGCTACTGTGGAAATCAGTATGGGATGCCTCACAAAACTAGGATTAAAGGTTCCATTCGACCCAGGTATTCCTCTGCTGGGTATCTTCCCAAAAGAATTAAAAGAATCATACCACAGCGATATATGTGCACCCATGTTCATAGCGGCACAGTTTGTAATACCTAAAACTTGGAAACAGCCCAGTTGACCATCAGCTGTGACTGAATAAAGAAAATGTGGGGGGGGTATAAAATAGAATATACTCAGTCATAAAGAAAGAGAAATTAGAGACTTTTATACCTAAATGGATGTACATTGAGGCAATATTCTTAAGTGAAAAAAAACAGAATACACATGTGTAAATACCAAAGAGTTTCCCTGGTGTGAGAAACTGAAAGTGTAAATAAGGATGAAAATATGTAATAGATAATTTGAAATAGGAAGAAAATGTGAAAGGGGAAATTGGAAGGAGTAGTGAACAGGAAAGAAGGTAATGGAATTAACATGATAAAATTAAAAAATGAAAACAAAACCTTAGTAAATAGAGAGGGGTTGAGGGGTTGAGGGGTTGAGGGTTTGAAGGGAGGGCAGGGGAATGGGGAAAAAATAAAGCTCAAGATATATTCTGTAAAGGTACAGAATTCTCCAGTGATGAATGTCATTATATTGTATATCTAAAATGTACCAATAAAATAAATTTTTAAAAAAGAAAAAAAAACTGTGATCAGTCTTGTTCACTAGTTCCTAGCAGAGAGCTTCATACCTCAGAGGAAAAAGTAGGCATCTGTGTAGAGACAGTGAATGACTTGGGGAATCCTAATATTAGCAGGACAGACAAAGAGAGAAACAGGCAAAGTTAAAGGTAAGAAGAATGCAGGGAGCTCTTCTAGTCAGTACCAAACACCATTCCACCACACCCTGAACCAAAATCATCTTCCAAAATCATCTTCAAGAGCCCAGGTGCACTGAGTTCATTTCTAAAGTTTCCAATCTATTGCCTGTGAGTTAGAACCTGTAATTCTATGCTATTACCAAACACTGGATGAATCTTCTTGCAGAGAGGTGAGAAGCAGTAGAAATAAAGAAGTTGGAGAATTTAGAGAAATTATCTATTAGTTTTGTGTAGGTTAGACTACCAGGTACAACCATTTGAAGATCATTGGGATCCAAAAAATTGTTTATGAGGAACTGAGTGTCATTAATTTCACCTAGCCTCCACTCAACTATTTGTAAGACATATCACTGTGCCTCAGGGAACAATGTAAGCAGAGTGAAGAAGTCCAAAATGGATGCACATTGAGGCTATACTCTTAAGTGAAATAAATAGGGCACACTTAGGAAGTCCAAAATAGCAAGTACTCATGGACTCTGGGTGAGGCATGTCAGATCCCCCAGTGGACAGACAGTAGAGCAGTCCAGCACAGTGAGGGATCTTTCACTGTGAAATTTGAGTATAGCTTTTGATTTGCACTTTAAAGGTTATGAGTGGAATGGTCCATGTTGGAAAGGTCAGAAGGAGTAGGAAGATAAATTGTTTGTGATGGGTAAATTAGGTGAAGTAACTTAGGTGCCATCCATGATAGAAAGTCAAGTGGATTAGGGCTTAGGTACTATCCATGATAGGAGGGTTAGATGGAATGGACTGCTTGCCATCCATATTGGGAAGGTCAGATGGAGTGGAGCTGAGGGACCAACCATGTTGGGAAGGTAGGTGGAAAGGGCTGAGAATGTGTTCATAAACTTCTTTGCTGTCCTTCAGGAATTCCTGGAAACTGGAAGAACCAGTTTAATGTGGCTACAAATGAGAACTTCAATAAGCACTATAAGAAGAAAATGGCAGGGACCACACTGACCTTCTGCACAGAAATATGAGAGGGAAAGAAAGGAGTCTATGCCAATTACCTGCCTGCTGGTCTATGCTGAGTACCCTGCTACTACACTATGCCAGGTATCCTAACTACTAGTCCACACCAAGTACCCTGCTTGCTGATCTATGGATGGTCAGAATGCAAAGTTTAGAACGAGAAAATAGATTTTCATAGGAAAATGGATACATATTGAAGATATACTCCTAAGTGAAATAAATAAGTCACACATGTGTAAATACCAAATAGTTTCCCTGGTGTGAATAATCTGCAATAATACATAAGATCCTAATAAGATTACTGACATTTAGAAGTGGGAAGAAAGGAGCTAAAGGTGTAGGGAAGGTGGGATGGGTAGGGGAAGGGCAATAAGGGAAAAGAAAAAAATGTGAGAGAATGAAAAGATGAAAATAAAGTGTTTGTAGATGGGGAGGGGAGGAGGGGGTGAAGGGAGGGCAGAGGTAAGGGGAAAAAATGAGAATCAAGACTTGTCATGTAGAGGTACAAGATCCCAACAATGAATGTAACTGTACTGTATCCCTAAAATGTACCAATAAACTCAATTAAAGCTGAAAAAAGAAAAGAATGCAAAGTTTATAAGAATTCAGTCTTACCCTGCCAGGCACTCAATGGTCTGGTACAATGCTAAAACATGAGTAATTACAAGTCATCCTGCTACTGTACTGAATAAAGTCTGTGAAGAGCAGCAGTTGGATGTCATAGAATTTTTGGAAATAAAAGTCTGTCTGATTGCATGTGGCAGATAAAGAAAGGACAAACAATTATGTGATGCATTCACACATGTGAGCCAACATGGACACCACAAAGAAGTAAGAGACAGATGTCACATGCTCCATTATTGACAGCACAGCCCCTGCCCAGGCACACAGCATTTATTTACAAACAATTATTGACTGTAGCATCCACTTATGGGCAGGAACAGCAGGCTCATCACTCCCCTCCTCCCACAGGCAGATCAAGCAGCATCTATTATCCAGCCCTCCATCCTCTTCCCAAACACTACCTTCTCTCCCACCTCTATAAACACATAATTTCTAAAGAAACACTTAGAACAAAGATCACAAGTCTAACAAGCAAAAAGCTTAGTACCATCAGAACCTCTGTCAAGGCTCATTGGAAAGAAATGTCCCCTTCAAACTCAGTCTGCCAATACATGGAGAAGTGACTCTCTTATCTAATACACAAAAATCAACAGGAGGAGTCAAAGAAAATGTAAAAACAGGGTAACAGATTCTGTATTAGTCACCTTTCCCATTCTTGGGACAAATTACCTGTCACTCACAACTTAAAGGAGATGGGGTTTATTTCACTCATGGTTTCAGAGGATTCAGTCCATGGTCAGCTGTCTCCAAGCCAGGAAAATTATGGTGGCACAAAGAAGCTTAGTTCATTGTATCTAGGAAACACAAAAAGGGTATAATAACTAAGAAGAAGGGGCCAGGGAACAGACATAGACCCCAAGATCATACCTCCATGACCTACACAGGCATACCCTGAAGTGTACTTTACTAATCTCCTAGGTGGCTACCAATCCAATCAAGTTGATAATCTATCTCAACTGTCACATCCCACCCCCTGAAATATTGACACCCAAACACATCTTAAATCATACTTCCAAATAAACACAAGGTCATAATTCTGTCTAACATAATACTGCACATGACCAAAATACAATAATCCCTTCCCAAAGTTTCAACATAACCAGCATCGCTAAGAAGTCCAGATCAAATCTCCTCTGAGACCCAGAGGAAACTCTTAGCTGTGAATCTCTGTAAAAATAAAAAACAAGTTAAACAATCCCAAGGTACAGGCACACACTGGTAAAAATTCCCATTTGTAAAAGGAAAAACAGAGGGATACACAAGAACAGGGTCAAAGCAAGACCCAAACCCACAGGGCAAACATTAAATTATGTAGCTCCATGAATAGAATCTGAGCATGTAGCAATGAAATGGAACTTTCAAGTGATTTGTGTGGACCCCAACCTATGTTCTTGCTGATTGTAGACTCAGTCTTGGAATGGTTTCACTCATGACCTACAACTTTCCTTGGTAAACATTCCACATTCCTAGCATCTCTAGTTTCCTGAGTTCTCCACTGCACCTTTGGCTTCGTTATCACAGCATCAGGCACTACCTTTTCAGTGGCTCCTGCCTCATCATCTAGACCTTCCTTTGAGCTCTGGGAGTAAGCAGCCATGACTCCACAATTCTTACATTCTGCATGCAAATAAAACCAGCATCCCATGAAACATGCCAAGGTCTGCTGTCACTTGGGGTAGTAGGCAGGTGCTTGAACCATGGTTGCAAAAGACTCCACATGCCTAAGTGGATTTGAATGGTGAAATGAATCCTGGGGAACCAATTCACTAGGAGGGCCCTCTTGAGCAGAGGACCCAGGAATGCTCTTCTCAAATAAAATGTTTGCACTTTTGCACCTTGAGTCTGCAACACCTGAGATCTTGCTGATTTACTGTAAGGTCTTCGAGGCATCTTTCTCCTTGTTCCTGTACAAAGCAATTAGTTTATTCTTTTTTTATTGAGTTTATTGGTACATTTTAGGTATACAGTACAGTTACATTCATTACTGGGATTTTGTACCTTTACATAACAGGTCTTGGTTCTCATTTTTCCCCCTTGTTCCTGCCCTCCCTTCACCCCTTCCACCCCTCCCTGTTTACAAACAACTTTATTTCCAATTTTTAATTTTCTCATTTTTTCTTTTCCCTTATTGCCTTTCCCCTACCCTTCCCACTTTCACCACACCTTTAGCCCTTTTCTTCCAATTTCACATTGTCAGTTATCCCATTAGGATCTTATGTACTAATATAGTTTTTCACACCAGAGAAACTTTTCAGTATTCACACATGTGTGACCTATTTATTTCACTTAGGAGTGTATCCTCAATATGTATCCATTTTCCTAAAAATGAATCTAATTTCTCATTCTTTATGGCTGAGTAATATTCCATTTTATAGAAAAACCACATCTTCTTTATCCAGTTTCCAACTTATGGGCAAATGGGCTGTTTCCAAGCTTTAGCTATTACAAATTGTGCCGCTATAAACATAGGTGTGCATATATCACTGCAGCACGATTCTTTTAATTCTTTTCGAAAGCTAATCAGCAGATTTTGTACTTTTACATAACAGATCTTGGTTCTCATTTTTTCCCCTTGTCCCTGCCCTCCCTTCACCCCCTCCTCCCCTCCCCATCTATAAACACTTTATTTCCATCTTTTCATTATCTCACATTTTTTTCTCTTCCCTTATTATCCTTCCTCTACCCATCCCACTTTCCCTACACCTTTAGCTTCTTTCTTCGCATTTCTCAATGTCAGTAATCTTATTAGGATCTTATGTATTATTGCAGATTATTCACACCAGATGTTGGACATTTATT